GCAACCCTGGCTGGCTCTCTCGAGAGGGCAGTTCAAAAGATGTCGAAGTCTTTAAACTGCTAGGGGAACATATGGGCAGGGAGGTGGAGGAGATTGCAATGGGAACGGATAAACAAAGTGAAAGGTTGCATGGAAACAGTGCTAGGAATGATGACAAAGCTAAATTAGACAGCGAGTTAAGACCTAAACGTGGCAAAAAGAGGACTCAGAACACGACTAACCTAAATGTTTATGCAAACAGTAGAAGTATGAGAAACAAAATGGATGAAATTAGGGCGTTGATATGTACCGAAAAAATCAATATAAAAGCATTCACCGAAACAGGGATGAACTTAGACTCACGTGAGTTACCTGCCGAATACCAAATTGCAGGTTACAAATTATTCCATACCGATAGGAAGATTAGAAAAGGAGGCGGCGTAACAATCTATGTCAAGGATAATCTGAAATGTGAAATTAATAAGGAAATAAAAACTGAACTGAATACAGAAAAAATTGGGAAAAATTAATCGCAGGAGTAATATATAGACCTCCTAATCTTGATAGAGTTAATGAGCGACCTATTTGGGATGAAATGCGCAGGGCTTCCAGGCACAGCAATGTCTGTATAGTAAGAGACTATAACTTTAGCCAAATAGATTGGATCAACCTTACAGGTAACTCAAAACCAGATGATTTTCTTGAAAGAGTTCAGGACTGTTTCCTAAGTCAACATACTTTATAGACGAATCCACCCAGGGTAATCATATGCTCGATTTAGTTCTGTCAAACAGAGAAGACCTCATTAGTAATGTCGAGGTGGGGAACGAACTTGCCAACAGCGATCACAAAGAAATAGGATTTCAATTAAAATTTAATGGCAGTCACAAGGAAAACTCCATTAAAGTCCCAGATTTCAGATGGGCAAACCTTGATAGTTGGAAAAGACAGCTGAGAGAAGGGGTATCACATTTGGGGATGGATTACATGACCTAGCGTGAGGTGACCTCACACAATGTACCCACAGAGGGTGACCTCACTTTACCTGGAGACCTGACAATGATATCCTCACAGAATATGGCGGTTGGGGATGACCTAATCACGAGATCTGAGGTTGACGAGTTCCACAACAATTTAAATAATGAGTTACTTAATGCACAAAGGCAGAACATACCATACAAAAAACTCAGATCAGACAACAGTGACCCTAAATGGATAAATAATGATTTAAAGAATATTATTGGACAAAAGAAGGCTATAGATAGAAGAATAAATCGTGGTATAGTTTACATCCGAGATTATTATAAGGTATTGGCCAGTACGGTTAAGACCGAGATAAGAAAAGCAAAGAGGAATAATGAACTAAAGGTAGCAAGGGAGGAGAAGTCAATCCCCAAGGGATTATTTCAAATGTATCAAACTAAAACACGAGAAAAGATTGGACCAATACTGTCAGATACCAGCGAGCTAACTGATAACGACGGAGAAATGAGCAATAATCTGAATAAATATTTTTCAACAGTTTTCACCACCGAAAATTTAAACATGTTACCCGAGGCACCGACTATATACAGAGATAGTGAAGAATTAGATTAAGCGAGATAGTAGTGACTAGTAACGACGTTAGTATGCAAATAGACAAGCTAAAGCCTAATAAGTCGCCAGGCCCCGATGAGATGTTTGCCAGAGTATTAAAGGAATGTAAGGAAGAGCTCAGTATGACCTTAGCAAATTTGTTTAACCTTTTCCTTAAAAATGGGTGTAGTACCAGAATCCTGGAGGATAGCGAATTTAATACCGATTTTCAAGAAGGGGGATAGATAACTATCCTCTAACTACAAACCAGTCAATTTAACATCAATTGTAGGCAAATTACTGGAAGCAATAATTTCAAACTTTGTTAGAAATCACCCGGAGAAACACAATTTGATCAATGATTCCCAACATAGCTTTACAAGCGGGCGTTCATGTCTAACTATTCTATTAACATTCTTTTCAGCTGTTTTCCAATCAGTGGACGAGGGGCACGACTATGATGTGGTATATCTTGACTTTAGTAAAGCCTTCGACAGAGTCCCACACGAAAGACTAATAAGAAAAGTGGAGGCCCTGGAATTGGAGGAGATATTCTAAAATGGATTAGTATGTGGTTACAGGACAGGAAACAGCGAGTGAGCATTAACGGCACTAATTCCGATTAGAATAACGTCACTAGTGGAGTATCCCAAGACTCAGTACTTGGACCATTAGTATTTATTGTGTACATAAGCGACATAGATATCGGCGTAGACAGCAACATAAGTAAATTTGCCGATGACACTAAAATAGGGCGTACAATTAAATCTGACGAGGACTCCGCAAAACTACAGGAAGACCCCAGTAAAAAATTTTGGAATGGTCTGAAAAATGGCAGATGAAATTCAATGTCGACAAATGTATAATACTTAGTCTAGGAAATGTAAACAGAGAAACCAGATATCAGATGAACAACGATATTACAGAGAAATCCGAATGTGAGAAAGATTTAGGAGTAATGATAAGTAGGAATCTTAAGCCAAGTAAATACTGTGAATTTGCTTGAAACAAGGCTAATAGAGTACTTGGGTTCATGCAGAGGAGTGTTAGTTACAAGACTAGAGAGGTCATTCTAAAACTATATCTTGCGCTTGTGAGACATCACTTGGATTACGCAGTTCAATTCTGGTCAACGTATTACAGAACGGATATTGAATCCCTAGAAATAATTCAAGACTAATCCCGGGCATTAGAAACCTTGAATACAGAGACAGGTTAAAGCATCTTAATTTGCACTTCCTCGAGAGACGTAGATTGAGGGGCGATATGATAGAGGTGTATAAATGGAAGTCCATGCTAAGCAAAGGGGACAAAACAAAGGTACTCAAACTATCCAACTAGAAGTGAACTCGCGACAATGGTTTTAAATTAGACAAATTTAGATTTAGGCGTGAAATTGGTAAACATTTGATTGGAAATAGAGTAGTGGATGAATGGAACAAGTTACCAAACATCATCATTAACTCGAATACGCTGGATATCTTCAAACATAGGTTGGGTGGATATATGAGCAATAGGGGTTGGGTGTAAATGGGACTGCCCAGTATGGGCCATTAGGCCCGCTGCAGTTTCCTCCATTCTTAAGTTCTTATGTTCTTATGTAATATGGGTCACTTATCAAATCTATCCGATTGGACATCCAAAATTCCAAGATGGCGGCCATTTTATAAGGTGACCGCTTAATTTGCCTAAACTATTTTTTTCTTTTACATATAATGACTTATTATTGGGCAATCTGTGCACATAGGTGTCTATTCCTATGTTTTAAAGCATGCTGGAACAGATTATGATTGCTTTGGAACCCTGAGATATGTCTTTTATTCATAATTTAACGGTACTGCACATACTTTTACCTCTTTTCATAAAAATAAGTGTAAGCGATTCTTAGTTAAACAATGATAAACCTGTTTATATCTTGTTCATATCCTTGGGAGATATTGTTATAAGAATTCTTTCATATTTACAGCTGCTGGTATGTGCATCCACACAGAGCTGTTGGAGTGAGACCAGAGCTGATACATTTACATCACTATCCAATGTCTTTCTTGCAAGAACAATTGGTCAGTTCTTGGCAGCTCGGTGCTATTAGTGGAAGGTCTGTCCAGTGTATTGCCACATATCTCCTTTCTTTTTCCAGCCCCAGTTAGCAGGACTTGGAATGTCTGGTTGGGTTGCTGTTGCCTGTTCCCTAATCATTCCACCTTGATAGACTGCATGTTTTACATGCTTCTTCAGGGCAGATCGTGTTGGTGGAATTGCATTTTTATTATCTCTGTTTGCGAGCGAATAAATCAAGTCTTGCACCACTGACACATAAAGCTGGATTAGACCTGTCATACATCACCACCAAAAGCCTTTCCAAGACACGGAGGTCTTCTTCACTAGCTGATGTAGGACACTGACTGAGTTTGGTGAAGGTACTGGAGACCTCGTTAAACACATTCCATGTTTGCCATGCAGTCTTTTCACCTTTACCACGGAAGGCTGACACAACATCACAACCACTGAATGCATGGAAAAATGTGATTCCAGTGGCTTTTTCAGGCCCTATGACTACAACTATCTCATGAACAGGAATCCATTTTATATAAGCCCTTTGACCATAAGAAATCCACATTTCTTCAAGACAAATTTCTCCTGATGATGTGAACACGGATATAGCTATGACAACGATATCTGTATCATTGGCTTTTGTGAGAACTCTTTTACTGCCTTCCAATACAACTTGTCTTATATGTACAAAGAGGTGAGTATCTGCCTCTTCGTGGAAACATGTAGTCAACTCTCCTAGAGGGCTATCATGGTTGCTAATGGCATCTTCTCCCTTTGTTACAATAACTGTGCATGGTGTAACAATTTATCACATTTTGTCCGCGAGGAAGTGAAAAAGTTCAGTCTTGTTATTGTCATCTCTTAGAAAGCTTCTCCAATTTGTTGGAGCTTTGCTAGTTTATGTCACCCTTCGTTTGATACTCTGACCTAGTTTTGACCTGGTTTAAACCTTTAAACTGTCCTTTTTACAGACATCAAACACAACATCCACCCTATTATGTTTGGTAAAGTAAGATTCCAATTTTGGAAGAACATCTTCACTGGGATGCTCCTTAAAAATCTTTGGTGATTAGGAGGAAGTGCATTAATCATAGCTGAACCATCTATTATTACTGTATGATGTCAGCAGCTTGTTCTGTGTCTACAGTAGCTTCGTCACACTAGCTTTAAAATTTTTAACTAGCTGAGCCTACATCCTCTTGGAATGCAAGCAAAACATCTCTTCCTTGATTGTGAGCTTCCAGTTGAGAAATATGTGAAACCAATTGGTCCTTAAGTCTAGTAGAATGAACTTCAGGTGATTCGACACTGATATGTAGACACTAATGAGACCTAGTGAATGTTCCTCTCATCTCCCACCCTATTGTCTCTTTCTCTCCTTCCCAAGGACTCACATCTAGGAGGCGTGAAGTGTCTGGGTCATCGAGGTCTTCCAGGTAGTCGTGGGCTGTGGTAGTGGTGGTGGTCAGCAGGAGGACAACCACCACCAAGACACACGTGCCCAGCCCGCCATGCTCTCCCACCATCCTACACCACTGATTCTGCAAAGTAAACAAACACTTAGTTCTTCATGAAGGAGAGTAATATGGATGATAAGAGTAATTAAAACCACATACTAATTTTACCAACCACCCCTTATGTTAAAGAACATCTTATTTATTTACACGATATACACATAATAAAGGTAAACAATAAAAATTCCCTCTGCATTGGATTAGCCCCTGTCTAATGGACAGTGGTACTTATATAAATATAGGTTAATACATCAGTATTATATAATTCCATCACCCACGTAATTTTCCATGAGCTGTGAGATATCATGAAGTGATCATGTGATCACTAGTTTCCACTGATGGGCGCCTTCCTGCAGAAGCTGACACACCATTTTTTAGAGCCAGCTTACCTTCAGTTATCACTTAACTCTCACAAAGCATAGACGTTGACTCCTAAGCCTACCAAATTAGCTTGCCCTCTATTTCCTAATACTCACAGCTTTCAGTGTTAATTATGGTGATATCCTTGTTGCCTGTACAGACTATTTTTATAAATAAATGGAGAAAAGACCATTTGGGTTTTGCAAACTTAACCCATAAATATTTTTTGATATGTAACTAAGTCACCTGTCATCAGTCAAGTTCAGTTGACCGGAAACGGCTACAGTATCACATTCTGAAACAAGTCAACAGACGATATTTATGTTGTGGAGGAAATATTCAGCTTTGAAATTTATCTTCAGGTTTAGTGCGTATCTTTGCTGGCTCCTCAATGACAATCAACGAGAAATAATAGTTGAGAGAGAGAGAGAGAGAGAGAGGAAATTTACAAAAATAAAAATAAACGTATAGGCAGACATGGAAGGGGAAACTACAAAAAAACATTATCCAAAACTGTTTCCTCACATTATCTCACACTACCTGAGGGAATGCCGACATTAAGAACTTGATTCTTTTGGGTCCACCGTATAAGACTTTCCTCACTAAGATCATCTGTTTTTTATTATTATGTTCCCAGGCCCTACTTACGCGACACACACACACACACACACACACACACACACACACACACACGCACTCACACTGCTACTACTACTACTTTGCTGTCCTTCGGAATAGAGTATGACGATCATCCAGCTATGAGACGATGATATGAGTTATTAAGGATGTCACCTAGGTTGGTGAGTCTTAAGGTGACTAAAGAGGCCGATACGAAACCGGTAGGGTCGTTCACGGATGTTGCACATGTGGAGGGCTACATCTAGAACAGGAGGGGCGGCGGTAGAGTCTTTCCGTCGTTGGCGCTTGTCTGCCTCGGTTTGCAGTCGGACAAATTCGAAAGTATTGACACCTTCTTCTGTGGTGCTTCTCCAAGCGTTACGGTGTGGAGTAATCGTCTCCCAGGCGAGGGGAACGATTTGACACTTTTTCAGGTTTGTCTTAAAACTATCCCTATACCTTTTCAGTTGCCCGCAAGCGTTATGTTTACTATTCGTTAGATAACTGTAAAGTAGCTGCTTTGGTAGTTTACTGTCGTCCATGTGGGTAACATGGCCAGTCCAACGTAGTTGTTCATGGATAATGGTAGCCTCGATGCTCCTGCAGTTGGTGTCAGCGAGAATACTGGCATTTGTTCTCTTGTCTTACCAGCGAGCTAAGAGGATGGAGCATAGACTAAGTAGGTGAAAGTTTTCAAGTGCCTTGAGGTGCCTCCTGTGTGTGATCCATGTCTTACTGCCATATAGCAGGGTGGGGAGGACCACTGCTCCATATGCGTGCAACTTTGTTGATAATCTCAGCTCCCTACAACTGAAGACACGGGTACAGAGTCTGCCAAAGGCTTGAGAAGCACATCTGATCCGATGTTGAATCTCTTTATCGATGTCCGCGGTGGTGGACAGGTGGGAGCGATATACTGAAAGTGGGTATCATTAGAGAGGGTAGTACCATAAAGCAGGATGGATGGTGGAGGTATGGCTGAAACAGGGGCAGGTTGAGAGAGAATCTAAGTCTTATGTACTTTCACATCAAGGCCGAAGTGTTCACACACTTCTGCGTCGGTGTTTAGGATATCCTGTAGCCCGCGTTCAGTGTAAGCGACAAGGGTGAGGTCGTTTGCATACTGAAGTTCAGTTATAAAAGCTGCTGACACCTTTGTTCCTGCCTGGAGTCATCTTATGTTGAAAAGATCCTTCATCCGGTACTGGATGTCCACCCCGCTGGCTAAATTGGCTTTGGCTTGAGCAAGGAAGGAAGCCAAGAAAATGGAAAAGAGAGTTGTTTTACCCTCGTTTGGATGGGGTAGAACTCAGACTGAGTGCCATTGTGCAGTGCACTGCCGTTCATGCCAATGTGGAGTTGCCTCACAATGGCGATGAATTTTGGTTGGCAGGTAAAATAGCAGAGAGTCCGCCAGAAGGCTTCCTGCTGACCTAGTCGAAGGCATTGGTTAGGTCGATGAAGGCCTTGTACAGGTCTTTGTACTTTTCCTGTAACTGGCGGGCAGCAAAGATCATGTCAGTGGTGCCACGTGATGGTCTAAAGCCACATTGAGATTCTGGGAGGAAGTTTTCCGCCTCAGGAAGAAGTCTTATTTAGGTGGACTTGGGAGATAATGTTGCTAGCTATGGACAGCAGCAAGATCCCACGGTAGTGGCCAAAGAATGACTGGTCTCCCTTGTTCTTATAATTATTGAGGATGGATCCGTCTTTTAGAACTTGGGAGATTTGCTCCTTTTCCCATATATTCGCCAGGAGAGACGGCTAGTAAGCAGAGGTCCTCCTGCTTTATGCCGCTCGGCTGGGATTCCATCAGGCCATGATGCTTTGTTATTCTTCATCTGTTTGATAGCAGTAGCTAAATTTTGACCAAATCCCAGGTTGATGATCTGTCTTTCTGCCTCATTTACACACAATTGCAGGGTTTCAATTGTTTCTCTTACTTTGACAACACAAGTTATATCTATCGTTTCTCACTATGGATCTTTATTTTATTTTATTTTTTGCATTTGTTTATGGTTCTATATTATTATAATTATTATATTTAATATTTTTAATTTGTATATTATTATTATTATTATTATTATTATTATTATTATTATTATTATTATTATTATTATTATTATTATTATTATTATTATTATTATTATTATTATTATTATTATTGTCATTGTCATATATCTTCGCCTTTCAGGCCCTGACGTGGGTCATTGACCTATGACCGGGTGGGCTAATCCCCATAAAAAATAAATAAATAAATAAAACCTCATCCAGGGATGGATGGTTGCTGAAATGGGTCAGCTCTGGATGCTGAGTGACCTGCTGGGTAGTCAGGACACCCACAATGGTATTTCGGTTGAGCAGCAAATGGTAGTGCTCTTTCCAGCGCTGAAGGAGGCTTTCTTCGCCTTTAATTAGGGTGTTACCGTCGGATGAGCGACGGGGAGAGCGCCACGAGTGATTGGCCCATAACATGTTTTAGTGGAATTGAAAAATTCGCACATCTTGTGTTGATCTGCAGGTTTTTGCATTTTACAGTCGTTCTTTAGCTTGCGAAGTTCGCGTTGGGCCGTCGCTTTCTTCTTGCGGAAGGTATTAGCTGTGGTCCGAGACTGAGGGTTGTTCTACCAGTCAGTTAAAGTAGCATATTTATCATCGACGAGTACATTGATTTCCGGGTAATTTTCATCAAACTAGTCCTGGTGTATTCTTTCGACCTGACCGGGGGTCTCTCTGCAGGTTTTTGGCTTGACAGTGTCGAGAATACCCCATTCGGCACTTGGATTTGGATTGTTTGTTGTTGGGTTGTTTATCAGTCCATGCTCGAGTTGTTCTCTGAAAGCATGTAACACCGCTGGATCCTCCAGACGCTGACGCTTGTTACCTTCCCCGTTTTGGGGCGACGTGAAGTGAGAGCTTGGTTCTGACGAGCCGATGATCATTGTTACAGTGGTCTGAGTCATGTATTGCTCGGGTGATGAGGACATCTTGGCGATCTCTTTCTCTGACAATGATGTAGTCAATGAGATGCCAGTGTTTGGATCGTGGGTGTTGCCACGAACCTTTGAACTTGTCGGCCTGCCTAAATACTTGTGATAGAGAGGTAGTGTACATCACACTTGCTGAAGAGGAGTAAGCCATTGGGATTACACTTACCTAGTCCATTTCTCCCTAATGATTTCCTGCCAAATGTCAGCATCTCTGCCAATTTTGGCAATAAAGTCACCAAGGAGCACAACCTTATCTTCTCTGGGGATAGAGGTTAGCACTCTGTCAAGGTCAGTGTAAGAGGACTCCTTGATGTTATCTGCATCCGGTGTTGGGGTGTATGCACTGATGAAAAAGAGCATGATGTGAGTGATTCAGTGTGACTCTGAGCCTCATGAGGCGGTCGTTAATCCCAACAGGCATTTCAGTTAGCCTGTGTAAGATGGGTTGACGGATGGCAAAGCTAACTCCATAAATTTGGTTTATCTCCGCAGCGGGCTTACCCTTACAGAAGAAGGTATAGCCAGACCCTGTTCTGTGAGTCAACAATCGTCTGGGAGCCAGGACTCACTAATAACTGCTATATCGATGTTGTACCTAGCCAGCTCTTTTGCCACAAGGGCAGTTCTTCTCTCAGGATTCTCATTTGTGCCATTATCCAGAAGAGTCCTGACATTCCAAGCAGCGACCATAAAAGGTTGTATAGTTATTGTTTTGATTTCGGATTATAATTGTGTTTTCGACAGTATAAAGTTCACCTTACCAGGTGTGGTTGAACAGTCAGGTTGGTTCTTTAAGCAGGCTATGTTTAGGGAACCTTTTCTAGCCCCCTACCCATGTGGGGTGAGCAGAGTGGATCCTCGGAAAGGGTGCTCAGTCGTCTTAGTAGCTTGTCCATCATTGCATTGCCTTCGTCTGCCAGTGTAGTCGTTGGATTCCCATGTTGGTCACCTCTTCCACCTATACTACCATTGGGGTCTTGTTGGTGCTCTGTAAGCATGTCTGCCTGATGCGGGACTCCACTGCAGATTTTTCGTTTGGGGTTTACTTCTGCATCC